GGGGGTACCTACACCCCCCCCCCCCCCCCCCCCCTTTTTTGGCACTAGAGCACATGGAACATTAACACTAATTGGAGCCAGACAGGCAGCATGCTATAGACATTTACTGTTCAGTTCTGACTTTCGAGTACCCTACGACTGCAACAGCAGATATTTATTCAGTAAATTACCAGTCAGGCCAAACTACAGAAGCTAGTGCTTCTGAAGCTGTGGTCTGTTGGATGAAAATAGACCAGTGAGGTTCATTTTATATGAAAATTGAAACAGCTTTAGATGCATGGTTTAACAGATGACACGCCAGATAGTTTCTATCTTAGACCCCGAAAATCCTGTACTATTCCTCAACCTTCCTCCCACCCTTCCCTCCACAAGCATATGGCATAGATTATTTCTCCATTCAAGTTATTGCAGAAGTCTACCAAAAGTTAATGGCAAATGCAGTATAACTTAAATAAACTTAAATATTTGAAGACTAAGTTCTGCAGTGACACCCTTACACTGGTAATCGTTCCCCCTGGTCTTTATCACTGCTGCTACATAAAATAGCCTAGTAAAACCTCCAGACCCTTGCAAACTGCCCAGCTATTTCACAGCAAATAAGCTTTGAGTTGCAGTTAAACATCTATTGAAATACTGCATACTGAAGCGGGCATAGAAAAAAAATCTGCACTTACATTTGATGTCTGCATACATATGGCTGACTGTGAATCGGTCTTTGCCTTCAGGTGCCCATGCTATCCTTTCAGCCATAAGGTAGAGAGCCCCATCCTGCTTCTTTTGACGTACCTTCTTTACGATCAGTAACACTTCTTCAGATGACGTTGCCATGGTGGCTCTAAGGTGCTATTAAAAACATATGGTAGAATTTATTGCTATCATTATTTTCACTGTAACTTTCTCACTATTTCTACCTATTTCAAGGAATTACAACCTGCGTTTACATGTTAACGCCATCATCATTTCTGGACCATCCCAGATAGAGGTGCTTCCCTCTGTCAATACAATCAGCAAATTTATTTAAACAAAACACTGCCACCAACTTAAATAATTTGTCCAATTATATTGCTGATACTGCCTGTGCTCCAGTAAAGAGACCCACAAATCTGACATTTAAACTAATAACCACATTTTCCTTTTTTGATGCTCCTGTACTGGTTTCTCAAGTTCAGAAGAAAACCAAACCTAACCAAGAACCTATATTCCAAATCTCCTCTGGCATTTGGCAGCGATTTCCGTCTTCAGCATGAATGGTAGATGTTAAAACATTCCAGAAAAGGGAGGGATACAAGGTACAGGGAAAAAAAAAGTCAGCTCTCAATTTTCCTCTGTTCATAACATAACCTAGCGCAGTTACAATCCTGTTCTTATTGTAGTGACTTCTGCCCAAGGCTTGAACAATATTTCATACGCTTGATTCCAGCTAGCCAGTTTCATACCCCCTTCCCCAAACACTGAGGGACTTATACCTGCTTCAAAACAACGGGAATTTTGTCACTAGTTTCACATCAACAAGCCTTTTGATGTTCGCTGTACCTTCTTCCCAGCGGTCACCATCGTTCCACCTTACACATTCACTCAACAGCCTTAAATTTCTCAAGAGAATAAGAACGGTGTGTGTATGTGCATATATATATAGAATCATAACGTCACACACCTATCAGAAAATTACACATTCAGTCCTCTTTGCTCTAAATAGCCTCATCTGTCCAATTGCTGTATTTTGTACGTCATATACTTTTCTATTGATACATAAAATGGAAGGAATTTTCAAAACGGTAGAGATTTTCAAAGTCTGCTATACACATTTCATGTGTTTTAGAGTATCTGTAGTATTTGCTGTTGCCTGCATCAAAAGTCTAAAAGAAATTTGCATCAGCTGTCACTGCACACTCCCAGTACGTAAAATGGTATTCCTAAGTACGCGAATTCACATATGGATTTTTTTTTTTTTTTTTAAAAAACCCCAAGACTGGGATATTTTACTTTGACAGCCTGAAGAGTAACATAGCATTCTCTTCAGCAAAAGTCTTACAAGCCAGTCACGAAAATGCATTAAGTAATATACTAAATGGAAAAATATTTAATGGCAAAAGGGCTCTGCACTTAAGCTTTGCTCTTTCATCACTTCAGTCAGCCAAAGCTTTGCCAAAGACTTCAGGGAGGCTGAGCTGAGCGCGGGGTTTCCAATCAGCACCACTGCAGCAATCGCTGGAGCACGCGGGGCAACGTTCAGAGCAGCCCTGCTAATACTGTGCTCTCAAGGAAAACCGCAGGGCATAATTTCAGGCCAGCTTCCTAGCATAATCTACTACAGCCTCCCCAAGAGCATTACTCTCTCTCAGTGGCATTCGCACTACCATTTTATTTAGAATTTCCTGTTGTAGGTCTGTAGTCTCTCTTCAGCACCTTATCCTGGCTGGAAAAAGGCAGTTGGCCATGATCTCCAGCAGACCAGAAACCTCGCTCTTCTCTGCGAGACTGAGGATTTTGACTTTGCTCCCCCTCTGTTAATTTAAAATCCTTTAGTCTCAGGTCACTGTGATCAAATACAGCAGAGCTGAAGCCACACAATACAGTGGAGAGAAACCTGCACTGAACAGGAAAAAAGGAAAGCTTTTCCACAGCCAGGCTCATTCTGATGCAAGCTGCTTTGCTCTTCTGTCATGCTGTTTCACCCACCTACAACTAGCCTTTCAGCTAAGGAAGAAAATGATCAGCGGCTAGCAACTTCTCTTTTTACAGACTCGGTGCTTCTAGCACGGTACCCTGCAGCGTGCAACCTGTGACTGCACAATTATCCCGCAAGTGGCTCACGCTACCTTCTGGGAAAGCAAACGCACTAGCTCACTGTTGCCCTTATTTATGTCATTGCTGTTTCCTTCTTCATGCAGCAATTTACGGCGGCCATAGGATGATACGAAACACGAGCAGCGTGAGCATTATCCAAAACGGGGAATACAGAGTTGTCTTCAAACCAGGGAAGGGGGGTGGGGGGAAGATTACTAATGGAGATTTAGAAAAGTTAGCATCTTTTGCTAATGAAAACAAGATGGCTTCTGCAGTTAAGGACAAGGGGAGGGGGAAAAAAAAAAATCTAAAACAGAAACGCAGCCTGTTCGCTAGAGAAGCGTGAGGGTGGTGTCCTGCCCGCAGAGGGGAAGGCTGCGCCCTGTCACCCCCCGCTGCTCGCTCACAGCACCTGGCAGTCCCCCACTTTTTCGGACACTTAAGGCATACTGTGAAAAAGAGCGAGTCATCGATGACCTACGCACACCCACTGCCATATCGCGGCCTCTACGTTTAACAACTTCTCCGAAGTTTCAAGGAAGCGTTGCTGCGGACGACGGCAGGATCCCCGAAGGCTGCAACGTCCGCACCGAAACGCGCCGGACGCGCCCAGCCGCAAGTTCAGGGAGACGAGCCGCTTCTCTGGTGCCAGGGTCTCCACCAACAGGCGAGGCGGGGCGGTTTATTTTAAAACCCCCAAGTAACAGCGCCTCTAAAGCGGCAGGCAAGGGCACAGCCCGTGACCTGGAAAGCGTCTGGGCCCACCCGTAGCCCTGACCC